CACCTGGTGCTCATCACAACAAGTGTACTCCTTAATCTCCATCACCTGTTTAACCCATACCCCCACCCACCTCCCCTCTGGTAGCCATCAGTTTGTTCTCTATCATTAAGGGTCTGTTTCTTGGCTTGCCTCTCTCTCATTTTTCCCTTTGTTCATTTGTTTTGTTTCTTAAATTCCACATGTGAGTGAAATCATATGATACTTGTCTTGCTCTGACTGACTTATTTTGCTTAACATAATACATCCATGTTGTTCCAAATGGCAAGATTTTATTCTTTTTTATGGTTGAGTAATATTCTATTGTATATATATACCACATCAACATAAAAAGCTTCTGCACAACAAAGGAAACAACCAAACTAAAAGGCAACCTTTGGAATGGGAGAAGATATTTGCAGATGGCATATCTGATGAGGGGTTAGCATCCAAAATATATAAAGATCTTATAAAACTCAGCACCCCAAAATGAATTATCCCATTAAAAAATGGTTAGAAGTCATGAATAGGCATTTGTCCAAAGAAGACATACAGATGACCAGCAGACACATAAAAAGATGCTCAACATCACTCATCATCAGGGAAATGCAAATCAAAACACCATGAGATATCACCTCACACCTGTCAGAATGGCTAAAATCAACAACACAAGAAACGACAAGTATTAGTGAGGGTGTGGAGAAAGGAGAATCCTCTTGCACTGTTAGTGGGAATGCAAGCTGGTGTAGCCACTATGGAAGACAGTATGGAGGTTTCTCAAAAAGTTAAAATAAACTCCCCTGTGATCCAGCAATGGCACTACTAGGTATTTATCCAAAGAACACAAAAATATGAATTCAAAGGGTTACATGCACCCTGATGTTTATAGCAGTATGATCTGCAACAGCCAAATCATGGAAACAGCTCAAGTGTCCATCAACTGATGAATGGATAAAGATGTCTTTTCAATTTCTTGGTGGTGTTTTTCTTTTCTTTTTTGTTATTTTTACTGTTTTAAAAGGAACATAACAAAATTTACCATCTTAATCATTTTTTTAAGTGTACAGTTCAGTGGTATTAAAGACATTCACACTGTTGTGTAGACATTACTACTATATATCCCTATAACTCCTATTATCTTATAATATGAAATTTTATGCCTATTAAACAGTAACTCCACATTCTCCCTCCCCCCCAGTCCCTGGTAACCACCATGTCTCTGAATTTGAAGCACAAATTTTTAAAATTTTGATGAAGTCCAATTTATCTTTTTTTTCTTTTGTTGCTTGTGATTTAGTATCTTATCTAGAAAATGGTTGCCTAATCCAGGCTCATGAAGATTTACTACTATGTTTTCTTATGTCAGTTTTATAACACTAACCCCTTACATTTAGATTTCTGATACATTTTGAGTTAATTTTTGTATGGTGTGAGTTAGGGGTCCAACTTCATGCAAAAAAATAATGTGGATATACAGTTGTCTCAGCACCATTTGTTGAAGAGACCATCTTTTAACCAACAAACTGTCTTGGCACCCTTATTGAAAATCAATTGACCATAAATGTAGGAGTTATTTCTGGACTCTCAGTTTGATTCTGTTGATTCATATGTCTATCCCTATGTCAGTAACCTACTGGCTTTATTATTGTAACTTTGTGCTAAGTTTTTTTTTTTTTTAATCATGGTAAATTACACATAGCGTTTGCCATTTTAACTGTTTTTTTTTAAAGATTTATTTATTTATTTGGGGGAGCAAGTGTGTATGCACACGTGAGCAGGGGGGAGGGACAGAAGGAGAGGGAGAGAGACTTAAGCAGAGCTTAAGAGCATGGAGCCCGACACAGGGCTCCATCTCATGACCCTGAGATCACGACCTGAGCCAAAACTAAGAGTCGGATGCTTAACTGACTGCACCACTCAGGCACCTCTCATCTTAACTATTTTTAAGTGTACAGTTCAATAATGTTACTCACATTGTTGTGCAAGCAATATCCAGAAATTTTTCATCTTGCAAAACTGAAACCCTATATCCATTAAATAATAACTCCTCATTTCTCTCTTTTCCCAGTTCCTGGCAACCATCATTCTGCTTTCTGCCTCTATAAATTTCACTACTTTTGGTACCTCATATAAGTAGAATCAGACACTATTTGTCTTCTTGTGACTGGCTTATTTCAGTTAGCATAATGTCCTCAAGTTTCATCCATGCTATAGCAGGTGACAGAATTTCCTTACTTTTCAAGACTGACTAATATTCCATTATATGTATATGCCACATTTTGTTTATTCATTCATCTATCAGTGGACACTTGGGTCGCTTCCATCTTTTGGCTATTGTGAAGAATGCTGCTATGAACATGAAAGTGCAGATAGCTCTTTGAGACCCCACTTTTAGTTCTTTTGGATATGTACCCAGGAATAGAACTGCTGTATCATATAGTATCATTTTTAACTTTTTGAGGTCCACTATACTCTTTTCCATAGGAGCTGCACCATTTTACATTCCTATCAACAGTGCAAAAAGTTTCCAATTTCTCCACATCCTTGCCAACACTTGTTATTTTCTGTTTCCTTGGTAGTGGGCATCCTAATTGGTGAGGTGGTACATTATTGTGGTTTTGATTTGCATTTCTCTTATGTTACATGATGTTGAGCATCTTTTTATATGCTTATAAAAAGCATTTGTTTATTTTCTTTGGAAAAAAGTCTATTCAAGATCTTTGCCTATTTTAAAATTGAGTTGTTTGTGGTTTTCATTGTTGTTGTTGAGTTATGGGAGTTCTTTATATATTCTGGATATTAATGCCATATCATATATATGATTTGCAAATATTTTCTCTTACCCCATAGGATCCCTGTTTGCTCTATTGATTGAATCCTTATAATTCCATTTGCTTCTGTAAAGTAGGTGGTGATATTCCCTCTTTCATTGTTAATTTTAGGAATTTGAATCCTTTCTCCTTTATTCTTGGTTAGTCTAGGTAAAGGTTTGTCAATTCTGTTGAACTTTTCAAAGAAGAAATTTTTAGTTTGCTGATTTTCTCTATTGTTTTCCTATACTGTGTATCATTTATCTGTGCTGTAATTTTTGTTCTATCCTTCTGCTTGTTTTGGATTTAGTTTGTTCTCTGCCTAGTTTGTTAAGGTGGATGGTTAGGTTACTGATTTGAAATCTTTTTTCTTTTCATGCAGGCATTTTTAGCTATAAATTTCCCTCTAAGCATTTTTGAAGTTGGTAAATATTTATTCAGTTAAACATTAAAAATGAACTCCAAGGGAGGGTCCAGATTCTTTAAATACAGTGAAAATTTTTATTGAATATTAATTAAATGTTGGCTTGAAAATTTTGTTTATGGAAAGATTTGTCACTGAGATTGAAGCAAGGCAGACTAGCAAGGACCCAGAGCTGAAATTGGGGTCATGACTTGTGATCCCAGCTCTGCCACCAGCCAATTGGGTGATATTATGCAAGTTAATAACCTTTGTTTCTCAATATCTTCATGTGATCATTTAGGAATACATTAGGAATTTTTTTATACGTGGTTATGAGGCTCCCTTGAGGTAATGTGTATAAAACGCTTTTTTCATACTCATGTTTATTTACGTTCATGCTCAATATTGAGTAATCACTTATTTTAAAAAACAGTTGCTGTTTTAGTCAAAAAAGTGCATCTTGGGAAGGAAATGGAGAACCCTCTGTTGAGATTTAGTGAAGCCCAAGTTTCTGTTATTGTTCAGTGAGGAAGATTCACTCCAGTTGTTTGTTTTTTTTTTAAGATTTTATTTATTTATTTGTCAGAGAGAGAGAGTGCACACACGAGCAGGCGGAGTGACAGGCAGAGGGAAAAGCAGGCTCCCCACTGAGCAAGAAGCCCGATGCCGGATTTGATCCCAGGACCCTGGGGTCATGACCTGAGCCGAAGGCAACTGCTTAACCAACTGAGCCACCCAGGCGCCCCACTTGGGTTGTTCTATCTCTTTAACTGTAATGTTAAACCTATTGGCCCATCCTTTGCTACAATCACCATTAATCAGAAAGCAACCCATGTTCCAACCTAGACAGATGCTATTGTTGTGAACAGTTAAGAGTGGGGGCCCTGGAACCAAACAACCAGGTTTTGAATCTTGACCTTGCCTCATGATGATGCTGGGACCTTGGGGAAGTTCCTTAGTGTCTCTGTGCCTCAGTTTTCTCACCTGTAAAATGAGTATAGTATCAGCATTTACCACACAGGGTTGTCCTGGGGATTAAATGAGTTAATATAGGTGAAAAGCCTGGTGGATAGTAAGTATGCATTAAATGCTAACTATTACAATTGAAGGTTTAAGCAGAAGCTTTAAGACTGTTATGGAAGGCATTCACTGTTGTTTTTTAATACCCAGAGTAATATCACTTTCTTTTAGGTGACTGTTCCAACCATGTGAACCTACTAGAGATTACTAATCCCAGACCTTCATCTGGCCTCAGAGACGGCATGTGACCCAGATGGGGCCTATAGCAGTAACTGTTTCCCTGGCCATAGTGATGACCTGAGCTGGATCAGACAGAAAACTTTTTCTGAACTGTAGTTACAGAAGATGGCTTTGCCTCTTGGGTCATGAACTGGAATGATTTGTATCTCCTTTTGGTGCATTTGGGTTGTTATTTCCCTTGTTTGTTTTTTTTTTAAGCAGCATTGCAGAGACACCCTTGTTCATCCTGGACATCTGCAGGATAACAAACTTGCTGGGACAGAATTATAGTTTTCATTTAAATACATTTTCATTTAAATACATCTCACAGGGCGCCTGTGTGGCTCAGTCGTTAAGCGTCTGCCTTCAGCTCAGGTCAGAAACCCCGGGGTCCTGGATTGAGCCCCACATTGGGCTCCCTGCTCCACTGGAAGCCTCTTTCTCCCTCTCCCACTCCCCCTACTTGTATTCCTGCTCTCGCTGTGTCTCTCTCTGTCAAATAAATAAATAAAATCTTAAAAAAAAAACAATAAATAAATACATCTCACATTGGGTATTCTCTTTTATTCTAGGTTTCTGTGCAAGATGAACTAGTTCAAGTGCAGCCAAAGTTTAAAAGTAGTCTTCTTGAGGCTGTGGAAGTCTTTTGTGAGGATGTAATGAACTTTGCAGAATCATATGAGACGGTAATCTAAGTATTTGCATTTTGTGTGTTAAAATGTTCTGTGGCATGTTTATATGAGATGACAGTGATGGATGTTGAGAAATACACTGCGATTTGCATATTGTATATAAGAGGCTGTATTTAATATTTGGAGCAATCAGGAAAAAAAAAGGGGATAGCTAATCCTTTAAACTTATTTTATAGAGGAAGAAAGAAGATTTCACTGTTAAAAGGAGGTAGAAATTTTGAGATTGTGGAAGGAACAAAAGGTCTGGCCTTATGCTTTCTTTCTCAGGCCAGAATGCTCATAGTTGAAAATGTGATACAGTTGTTGGAAGGCTATAAGAAACTATACAAACCTAAATACCAGGGTATTATGCAACTGATCTTTTTTTCACTAACTCTTAGGGAACCAAAAGGGTCACTGAAAATAAATAATAAATGTCACACGTGGTCAGTCCCGCAGACTGTTCAGCCTGGTAACATGACTGATAATGATCCTCCTCTTTGAAGTTAAACTCAGAAGTTGGATATATTCCCCTAACATATGCTACTTTCTCTTAGTGGTCACAGTGGGTCTGGATTCATAAGACATGTTAAGCCCTTAATAATAATAATCATATAACACACTTTTTTTACATGTACTAAACTTACCTCTTTTAGTTGGATTTGTTAACGTTTTATGGCCCTATCATTCCATTATACTGGGAATCTGGTCTATTATTTAGCATATCCATAATATTCAGGATTGTACAGACCATCTGGGGTCCTTTTTGCAGCTGTTCTGGATGATAGCCACCAGAGACTGCATTTTGCTTCATCCAAGTATTCAACTTTGTGCTCCTCTATTTCCATATTAGGCTGAACAAACAGTGAAAGGAGGCTGTTTTCAGAACTCTATCTCAGTTATTCTAATACACAAACACAGCATCATTGTTTATAATCATAAGTGAAATGAAACAGAGCTCTAGTGATACAGGCTTCCTACAGGATGTAATTTTGGCACATTTTTTATTAACAATGTCATGGTCCTTTAAAAATGAATGGAAGCTGGAGTGAGGCAAATGTTCTAAAATTGATTGTGGTCATGGTTACACAACTCTGTGAATATACTAAATGCCATTAAATTGTCCATTTTAAGTGGGAGATTGTATAACATGTGAATTATATCTCAATAAAGCTGTTACAGAAACTAAATGAAAGCTTCGTATGTGGGACAAAATTAGATCATTTCAATTTAAAATAATGTTTACTTATTTAAAAGGAAATAATAAACTCAATAAATTGATAAATACATGTGATTAAGAATTTAAATGGAGACTATATTATTAATTACAGGAAGGACCCATGGTTCCAAATATTCCGCCCCAAGAAGCTAGTAACAGGCTACAGATATTTCAGGTAAAACTTGTCGACAATGTGTTGTTATTCTTTAAAGTAATTTTAGGGAAAAATTTATGTGGTCTACCTTACAGTGGAAAAGTTAGTGTTTAAAGTGCATACAGATTTTAATTGTATTCTAATCTGCTAAATAATGTGATCGATTCCTTTTCTTGTATCCCTTTGTGTTCTTCTCCACAGAATGTCTCCCTGTATTTTTAGAGACTAAGACTTTGATTTTGAACTTAAGTGTATACCTTATTTTGGTTCCAAGCATCTCATTTATATATAAATGGTAAAAATTCATGGAATAACAAAATGTATCAAAATAAGATTTAAAATATTGACAGATGGTTTCCCTATCTTTCCTCTGTATCCATTCCTTTTCTATCCATGATTTTAAACGTCCCAGCTCATTTTCCTTACCCTGGACTATACACTACTCATTGGATTCACCATCTTTTTCAGATTGCTGAGCACATCTAGAGAAAAATCACATGCCCATTTGGGTTAATGTTTTGCAGGTTCGTGGATTCCTATGTAAGCTAGCCCCTAGGAGGATCAGGCAATTCTATTATTTGTTTCAGTTCTCTGTCCTGTTTTCTGTAGTGGCTGTACTATATGTTCATGTTCTTTTTATGTTCCCTATCCCACGTGCCTTTGTAGTCATTAAAAAATATCAGATGCCTACTGTGTGTCTTGGTCAATAGAAAAATGATTAAGGAAATGTTCTTACCTCTAAACTGCTAAAATCTGGTAGGGAGACAGAGAGCTGGATAGATAGTAATTGCAAAACTGTGTGGTGAGCACTATGATCTAGGTGTGAGAACTAGTGTTATGGAAACAGATGTAGGGAGTTTCCAACCAAAATAGGAGGTGAGGGGGCAGCCAGAGAAGGCTTCCTGGAAGAGGAGCCATCTAAGCTGCATCTTGAAGGACTATTTAGAGTTAGCCAGGGGAAGAAGGAAGAAAAACAGGTGAGACAGAATTTGCACCTCCTACAAAGGCCCAGAAATGAGGAGATAAGCAGGGAGAGTTAGGGAGATGAAGGAGTGAAATATGGGGTACAGTGAGCAGAGAGGCTAGGGATGAGGGGTGGGACAGCTGAGAGGGCAGAAATCACTAATGAGAGGGCCTTGTAGGCTCTGATAAGGAGCTCATAGCCTGTCCTGGGGCTGGAGGGCTCTAAGCAAGGAATGATATGTTCAGATTTGAATTTTTAAAATAGCTGTATGTTGAAAAGACTTCTCTGGCATTAGTGTGGAGAATGCTTTGGAGGGAGGATGGTCAGACTGATGGCAGCTTCAGTCATGCAAGCAAGAAATTGTAAAAATTGAGACCAACCAAATGCACTTGCAATCAAGAAAGCTGGCTGGATCATGAGTTTATTAACAAGACCCACTTGATAGGCTGAGGGGAAGAGAGGGAGGCTTCCAGCTTGGGAAAACAGAAGAAAGTAGAGTCATTTACTGAAGTACAAGTGTGGGAGGAGTAGTTTTGAGATTAGTTTGAACAAATGACCTTGTCTCCAAATTTACAGAGATGATTTAGGGTGTGTGATGTACATTTCAGAGAGATGTGCTCCCCTTCCTGTCTCTGGGGCCTCTTGACTCTCCCCTGTCCCTTCTTAGACTGACCCTTTTCTCTACTTTACTCTTAACCTCTTCCTCTTCACTAAATCTTCCCACTCAACATTTTAAAAGCTGTGTGTCTTTCCTTTTTAAAGTAACAATAAGAAACATAACTCTCTGTCCTGAGCCCCCTTCTAAATGTCACTTTTTTCTTCACCTGGCCCCGTTTCTGCCTGCCTTTATACTCAGATAGCTTTCATGGTTGAGCCACCAGGAGATACAGAGATGTTGTCCAAAACCCAGTGTTTTCTTCTCTACTAGGAATACCATGTTTTGCAGCAAATCAAGCCATACGAAGGCTTTCTGTAGCTCATAACTTAGTTTTGCCACGCGCTGGATGGTTATTTCTAAATATCCCTTTATCTATGTTAGAGATGACTTCCTACCACTTTACCATTGGGTTTTTCACCTCAAAGCGAATAAACAGAAGAGTGGAGTCAGTAATCTTGTCCTTGTTGCTTTATGTGCACATTCCGTAGATGGTTCAGGCTGGTTCCACGCATGCTTTTCTCAAAAAGTTTTCAATCAAGTTGAATGGGATCTCTCCAGTTTCAGGTTCTCCTGAGAGGGGTAGTTCAGCTTTTTCCATCAGAACCAAGTGGAATTTCTCATATGGTATCTAACTTTCAAGTATCTCCCTTGATCTCTGAGTGATTTAAATAGAAAATCCAGACCAAACGGCACCTGGGTGGCTCAGTCGGTTAAGTGTCTGCCTTCGGCTCAGGTCATGATCCAGAGTCCTAGGATCGAGCCCCACATCAGGCTCCCTGCTCAGAGGAGAGTCTGCTTCTCCCTCCCCCTCCCCCACGGCTCATGCTCTCTCTCTCTCTCCCTCTCACTTTCTCAAATAAGTAAAATCTCGCTGAACCCTGGAGGAGACTCTGAGCCTTTGCCCTCTGAAGTCCCCAGAGTCCCAGGGAAAGGCCTGCTTCTCTGGAGGAGCCAAGACCAAGACTGATCTGCTCACCAGGTGGCTGCCAGCTGAGCCAAGCAGAACCCCTCAGCAATAAAAACAAGATGAAGAGTGAAACTAGATAGTAATGTTGGGTGGTGATAAGTGCCAAGGGAAAAAAATAAAGCAGAGAAAGGGCGTAACACGCTGGGCTCTGTGTATGTAAAGTGGAAGTGAACTTTAAAATCTCATCTCCAGAGAAGGCCACCTTGAAAAGCTGACATTGGAATAGAGACCTAGAGAAATGAAGGAACGAGCCAGGCAGGTATCTGGAATAGCAGCTTTCCAGGCAGGAGGAAGAACAAGTGCAAAGGCCCTGAGTGAGAGCAAATATGACATCATCTTACTTACGTTTTCAGTGGATTGCCCTGGCTATGGTGTTGAGAGTAGATTACTGACAGTCAAGGGTGGAAGCAGAGAGAGTAATTAGGAGGTTATTGCAATAATCCAAGGGAGGGTGACAGTAACTTGGACCAGACTGGTGACATCGGAGTTGATGAGAAGTGGTTGGAGCCTGGATATATTTTGAAGGTAGACCCACCTCCTTGTCTTTCCCTCAGGAGTTACCAATTTATTGGTCAGTGACTGGGACTTTAATGTGCTACCCTTTAACTGGGAGTGTGGCCATTTCATTGAAAAGACCTTGTAGGGCCCATCTCTTGCCATCTGGCAACTTTTGTTCTGCCTATGCTTGGGGGTACGCACTAAGCAGGCTGTTCTCCAAGCATCTGGCTGGGTATGTGACCCAACTCTCCTCAAAAGCAGGTGCCCCCTCACGTTCCCAACCCCCCAGAAAAGCAGATGCCAAGATCTAGATCACAGAAAGAAGCAGGAACTTCACATTGGGCCTCAGGGTGCAGTGGTGTTCTCTGATGCAACTTTACTCTGATTTCTGGAGTTACTGGGCACTGGGTTGGCTAATATAATAGCTGGTATTTTGTTCCCCATTTGGCTGGTGCCGTGGGTCTTTTTATATTATCTGGGGCCTGAATGGAAAAGGAGGTGAGTGACTGGCATCCACCAATAGTCTTCACCACATAAACGAGATTTTAAATGTCACTATTTTAAAGTATGCTAACTTTAACGTTTTTGTTTCTCCTTTTCTAGTGTTCACATGGTTCCATGGCCATTTTAGTCAGTAACTTTATTTTACGTACATATTTATTTATTTATTTTTATTTATTTTTTATTATGTTATGTTAGTCACCATACAGAGTAACCACTATACTAACCACCAAGGAATATAAAAAGTACAAAATATGGCCTTTAGTTTCTAGGAAGGATGAATTCTTTGGCTTTTCTCTGGGGTCTTCACACCTTCCTGATTTGGCTCCTCTAAAATATGCTAACATTAGCTGTCAGATCTGATTCACTATCTGAATATGGTGAGGTCTGATGCCAGACATTCTCTAGGGCTGGAAATTTGGGATCCTTATTGACAGGTTATACCCTTATTTTGAGCCACACACACCTTGTCACAGGTGGATTATTTCTATTTGCTTTTGTGCTTTAAACATGCTCCATACTTAGCATTCTAAGTATAGGAGATTCTACCTCCAATTCAAAGGGCATGCCTTAACTTCCCTGACTCAGATTGTTAAAATTCTCTCAAATGGTGTTAAAATGGAATCCTTCATTTTATAGACTCTTTATTGCTTGGAGGGAAAACAGGGTTGAAAAGATGACAAGTCTAAATTAGTGAAAGAGCCTGAATTATAGATTTTTTTTAAATGCAGTTTTATTGCTTTCAGACATATTTATGGGAACTTGAAGTGTAGGTCTTCTGGGGACCATGTAATTTATTAAAGAAAAATTTTTATGTAAAATGGATGCTTTTAGAGTGCTTGAAAGTTAATTTTCCTAAGTGCTCAACTTTTCTTCTGATACCTTGGTATCACTATAAATTTCTTCACAAATCTTTGTTTCATAGATATTATTAAATAAACCTCAATGTAGCTTTTATTCCAATTATAATAAATTCTACTTTAATGGGGCTTGAATTAATTATATTTTACTACAACTTAAAAATCTTTTTATAGGCCAATTTTGATGATCTGTGGAGGAAGTTTGTTACATATTCATCTGGTGAACAACTTTTTGGATTGCCTGTGACTGATTATGAGGTTTTACACAAAACGAGGTGAGTGTAGAAATTGGGCAAGTGTTACATGCAAATAATGAAATACTGTCCATTAGAAGAATCATGTCATCATTAAATCTTTTATCATGCAGAGAAGAGCCTCCCTTAGAACACTCCTAAATATTTCCCTTATTCCTGGCTATTGCTGACCCACTGGATCCATAGTCATCACATATAAAAGAAATATTCTTGGGGAATGGAAAGTACATTGCAAAAATTCTAGTGTTTGTGACCTATATTTAGCCTGTGCTTTCTTTTGTTCTCTTCACTATTTTTGAATAGTGTCCATTATTGTGCAGAAGCACTGCAATTTTGGATATATTTTTTATTTAGAGGGTTACCCATCCTTGGCTTTCCAACCCTTCTTACTACCTTTATGCTAAGTGCTCTTCCCTATTGGGTAGACATAGAAATTCATCAGGATTGAAGGCCAAGGAACTTCACTGATTTTAAACAATAAGTAGATCTAGGATTTAAGTAACTATATTTTAACAGAATTTTATGTAACTTTCCTCAAGGTCAGAATTAAAACTGGTTTTGCTTATTGGGATCATGGCTTTAAAAAAGAACTTTATCTTAACTTCTTTCAAAGTCATAACATGTCTTTGCAAAATAAACAAGAAATTATCTGACCCATAAATCAATGCTAATAATGAAATAATTTCTAAGATGATGAATCAGCAAAATGAAGCAAGAATTGGAAAAACAAGATAACCAAGATTCTAGAACGTGTTTTAGATTTATAAAAGGTCCCAGTGTACCCTTATGATAATTGCAAGATAGAATGAGTTTTACTATATTAAAAACATAAGCAAATCTTATCTTTGGTCTTTGGATTATTTACAATAAATAATAAAAGTTGTGAATATCAATCCTTACAAATAGTTAAAACCACTCATGAAATAACCTCAAAAACTAAAATTGGGTCTAGGGGACACTCATGGCCTGCTAAGGATTGAGGAATTCTTGGGAGCATCCACAAACTCGGTTGAGTGGTCAATTTTTGATGTTTTACACAATAAAGGACTTTTTCTTTACTTGTATCTATAATCCCTCCTCTTATTCTTGTTACGTATATAATTCGTACATGAGGGAAAGCTTTTGGTAGGAAAGTGATGTTTAAGGCACTTTCCTAAAGGCAGATGTTCTCATAAAAAACCAGCTTGCATTTGAAAAAAAAAACAACAATCAAAACCTTAGCGTTAGCTTTGATTTTATTATGTTCTGGTCACATTGTTTGCAATGATTGGAACTGTGATAATAATCAAACCATTTGTTAATGTCAAGTCATAGTATGGCATGGAATATTTGAGAGCTATAAACTTGACCTAATTGATAGAGCTTTAATAATATTTTTGTTTGGAAACTGACAGGGTTGTTTGCATGTTGGTGTCTATAAGACATTACATACGTCATGTATGAAATATTTGATTGGATGAATTCTGCCTATCCAATAATGACATTTATTTTTAAGATACACATTATGTAATGACTTTATTTGGTTTCCCAGAAAAGAGCTCAACTTGCTGCAGAAGCTGTATGGACTATATGATACTGTAATGAACAATATTAGTGGTTATTATGAAATACTTTGGGGAGATGTAGACATTGAAAAAATTAATGCAGAACTGCAGGAATTTCAAAACAGGTGAGTTTGAAATGAATTAAGCTTACCTTTTTATAGTGCCTGTCTTCATAGGAGCTGTAGGTATTTTAAAAACGAATTTATCCTCTGATATATTGCTGTATATACATAATGCTTCAAAGAAATGGATAGTGATATAGTTTTGTTTTGTTTTTATTCTGAAAGATGTCGTAAACTCCCAAAAGGGCTTAAAGATTGGCAAGCTTTTTTGGATCTGAAAAAAAGAATTGATGATTTCAGTGAGTCATGTCCTCTGTTGGAAATGATGACCAATAAGGCAATGAAACAGAGACACTGGGACAGAATCTCTGAGTTAACTGGAACCCCATTTGATGTGGAATCTGATTCTTTTTGTCTTAGAAATATTATGGAAGCACCACTACTTAAACATAAGGATGACATTGAGGTACATAAGCTTATAAGATCTTATCACTGGTTCATTGAAGAACATCCTTTTACTTTTCTGGAAATTATACAAATGGACATTTTATTTAAGAATGTACTAATTGCCCTATATAATGTACCTTCAAAATTTGGAATGATCCTGAACATCCTTTGGTTTTGCAAAATAATATAGTAACTCAAGGAGATAAGATGATTATTTGAAATATGTTAGTTTGGGAGGTCCTCAATCTATCCTCCTCGTCCCTTAACTAGCTCTCATTTAAAAAAAATCTGTTTATTTCTGTATTGCACTCCTGGTGAATTCCTCAGAACATTTTCCAAATTTCTGATTCTATCCTTTTTCTTATTAGTCTACTACATATTTAAAATTATTCTTCCTTTCCAAGATTTTTAATTGGTTCTTTTTCTTTTTGTGTGTGTGCTTACTATTTGCATGGTATCTTTTTTTATTATTGAGATATAATTTTTATAATTATATACTTTTTATTACTGGGATATAAACATATTAGTTTATGTTTACAATGTTATGACTCAATACATTTATATATTACAAAATGATCATCACAATATGTCTAGTTAACATCCATCACCACACAAAGTTAATTTTTTTTTCTTGCGATGGGAACTTTTATCTTAACAACTTCCAAATATACAATACAGTACTATTAACTAGTCATCATGTTGTACATTACATCCCAGGACTTATTTATGTTATAACTGGAAGTCTGTACCTTTTGACCCCCTTCACCCATTTCATTCACCCTGCAACCCCCTGACTTTTGGCAACCACCAGTCTATTCTCAGTATGTATGTTCTTTCTGGTTTCTTTCTTTTTGAATTGGTGTTTTCATTTTCTTTGAATAAATACCTAGAAGTAGTATTGCTGGATTATATGTAGCTCTATTTTTTTTCTAAAGGTGTTATTCATTTATTAGAGAGAGAGAGAAAACATTAGTGGGGGGAGGGGCAGAGGGAGAGGGACAAGCCGACTCCCCATGGAGTGGGGAGCCCAGTGTGGGGCTTGATCCCAGGACCCTGAGATCATGACCTGAACCAAAGTCAGATGCTTAACTGACTGTGCCACTCATGTGGCCCTGTAGCTCTATTTTTAATTTTTTTGTGGAACCTCCATACTGTTTTCTATAGTGGCTGCACCAATTTACATTCCCACCAACAACGTGCAGGGTTCCTTTTTCTCCACATCCTCCCCAACACTTGTTATTTCTTGCCTTTGTGATGATAGCCATTCTAACAGGTGTGAGGTGGTATCTCACTGTGGTTTTGATTTGCATTTCCTTGAAGATTAGTGGTGTTGAGCACCTTTTCATGTACCGGTTGGCCATTTGCATGTCTTCTCTGGAAAAATGCCTATTCCAATCCTCTGCCCATTTATTAATTGGATTGTTTGGGTTTTTTTCCTATTGAGTTATGTGAGTTCTTTATATATTTTAGATATTACCCCCTTATTGGATTTATGATTTGCAAATATTTTATCTTGTTTGTCAGTTGCCTTTTCATTTTGTTGATGGTTTTCTTTGCTGTGCAGAAGCATTTTAGTTTGATGTTGTCCCACTTGTGTATTTTTGTTTTTGTTTCCTTGGCTTTGTTACCAAATCCAAAAATCATTGCTAAGAACAATGTCAAGGAGCTTATCACCTGTGTTTTCTCCTAGGAGTTTTATGGTTTCAGGTTTTACGTTCAAATCTTTAATTCATTTTGAGTTAATTTTTGTGTGTGGTGTAAGGTAGTGGTCCATTTTCATTCTTCTGCATGTGGCTGTCCAGTTTTCCCAACACAATTTATTGAAGAGACTGCTCTTTCTCCATTGTATATTCCTGGCTCCTTTGTCATAAATTAATTGACCATAAATGTGTGGGTTTATTGCTGGGCTCTCTATTCTGTTCATCTTTTTGTCTGTTTTTATGCCAAATATACCATACTGTTTTGATCACTATAGCTTTGTTATATAGTTTGAAATCAGGAAGCATTATGCCTCCAAGTTTGTTTTTCTTTCTCAAGATTGCTTTGGCTATTTGGGGTCTTTTGTGGTTCCATACAAATTTTAGGATTATTTCTTCTATTTTTATAAAAAAATGACTTTAGAATTTTGATAGGGATTGCATTTAATTTGTAGTTAGCTTTGGATTGTGTGGACAGTTTAACAATGTTCATTCTTCCAATCCATGAGCATGGGATATTTTTCCATTAATTCGTGTCTTCTTCAGTATTTTTCATCAATGTCTTATAGTTTTCAGTATACAGGTCTTAAACTTCCTTGTTAAACTTACTCCTAGGTATTTTATCCTTTTTGATGTAATTGTAAATGGAATTGTTTTCTTAATTTCTCTTTAGGATAGTTCATTATTAGTGTATAGAAATGCAATTGATTTTTGCATATTGATTTTGTTTTATGCAACTTAATTCATTTATTAGTTCTGTTTTTGGTGGGCATCTTTAGGGTTTTCTGTATATAATATCAGGTCACCTGCAAATAATGGCAGTTTTACCTTACTTCTTTCTTCCTGATTCAGATGCTTTTCATTTCTTTTCATTTCTAATTGCTCTGGCTAGGATTTTCAATACTAAGTGGAATAAAATGGGTGAGAGTAGGCATCTTTTTCTTCCTCCTGACCTAAAAGCATTGAGTGTGATGTTAGCTGTGGATTTGTCATATATGGTCTTTATTATGTTGAGGTATGTTCTCTCTCTGTACCTTTGTTGAGGTACAGAGATTATATCGTTTATAGATATTGAATTTTGTATGCTTCTCTGCATCAATTGAGATGATCATGTGATTTTTATCCTTCTTTGTGTTAATGTGGTATATCACATTGATTGGTCTGTGGATACTGAAACCATCCTTGTATCCCTGGAAATTCCAATAAATTCCAAGGTTATTGTGTGTGATCCTTTTACTGTATTGTTGAATTCAGTTTGCTAGTATTTTATTGAGGATTTTGCATCTGTGTTCATCAGGGATATTGGCCTGTAGTTCTCTTTTCTCATGGTGTCTTTGTCAGGTGCTGGCCTCATAAAATGAATTTGGAGTGTTCCCTCCTCTTCTGTCTTTCGGAAGAGTTTGAGAAGATTGGTATCAATTCTTCTTTAAATGTTTGATAGAATTCACCAGTGAAGCTATCTGGTCCTGGACTTTTGTTTGTTGGGATTTTTTTTTTTTTTTTTTGATTACTGATTCAATCTCCTTACTAGTAATCAGTCTGTTCAGATTTTCTATTTCTTCATAATTCAATCTTGGTAGGTGGTATGTTTCTAGGGAGTTACCCATTTCTTCTAGGTTGTCCAATTCTTGTGCCTGTAATTGCTCATAGTAATCTCACATTGGCCCTTTCTATTTCTATGGCATTGGTTAATGTCTTCTTTTCATTTCTGATTTCATTTGAGTCCTCTCTTTTCTTGGTTGGTCTAGCTAAAATTTTATCTATTTCATCTATATTTTCAAATACCAGCTGTTTCTTTGACCTTTTCTATTTTTTTTTTAGTCTCTATTTCACTCTGATCTTTGTTATTTCCTTCCTTCTACTAACTGTGGGCTTTGTTTATTATTCTTTTTAAAATTCTTTTAAATATAAAGCTAGGTTGTTTATTTGAGATTTCTCTTCTTTCTTAATGTAAGCATTTAGCCTTATGAATTTCCCTATTAGAATGGCTTTCACTGCATCCCATAAGTTTTGGTATGCTGTATTTCCATTTTCATTTTTCTTAAGGTATTATTTTATTTCTCTTTTGATTTCTTCTTTGAGCCATTAGTTCTTCAGTAGCATGTTATTTAATCTCCACATGTTTGTGAATTTTCCAGTTTTCTTCTTGTAATTGATTTCTAGTTTCATACCATTGTGGTTGGAAAAGATGCTTGACATAATTTCAGTTTTCTTAAGTTTATTGGGACTTATTTTGTGGCCTAACATGTGATCTGTCCGGGAGAATGTCCCATGTGCACTTGAGAAGAATGTGTATTCTGTTGCTTTTGTATGAAATGTTCTACATATGTCTAAGTTCATCTCATCTAATGTGTCATTTAAGGCCATTGTTTTCTTATTGATCTTCTGTCTGAATGATCTATCTATTGGTGAAAGTAGGATATTAAGGTCCCCTACTACTATTGTATTGCTGTCATTTTCTTCTTTTTGGTCAGTTAGTATTTGTTTTATATATTTGGGTGTTCCTATTTGGGCGCATAAGTATTTTCAAAATTATATCCTCTTGTTGGTTTGACCCCTTTATCATTATATAATGACCTTCTTTGTCTGTTATTACAGTTTTTGTCTTAAGATCTATTTTGTCTTATGTAAGTATAAATACCCTAGCTTTGTTTTGGTTTCCATTTGCATGGTATATCTTTTTCCATTTCTTCAATTTCACTCTGTGTGTGTCCTACATCTGAACTGAATCTCTTGTAGACAGCCCATAGATGCATCTTTTTTTTTTATCCATTTAGTCACTCTTTTTTTTTTTTTGAGTATTTAGTCTATTTACATATAAAGGAATTATTAATAGGTATGTACCTATTGCCATTTTGTTAATCATTTTCTGGCTCTTTTGTAATTCCTTGTTCCTGTTTTCTCTTGCTCTCTTCTTTTGTTATTTGGTTATTTTCTGTAGTGGTATGCTTTATCTTTTGTGTATCTACTATAGGTTTTTGCTTTGTGGTTACCATGAGGCTTATAGATAACAACATAATTATAACAGTCTATTTTAAGTTGATAACTGAAGTTTGAATGCATTCTAAATCTCTACATTTTTACTTCCCCCACCACATTTTGTTTTTGATGTCACAGTTTACTTATTTTTATCTTGTGTATCCATTGACAATAATTGTAGTTATAGTCTTACTACATTTGTCTTTTAACCTTCATACTGGCTTTTTAAGTAATTAACTTACTACCTTTACAACATTAGATTATTCTGAATTTTACTATATACTTACCTTTACCAGTGAGATCTACACTTTCATATATTTCCTGCTCCTAATTAACACTGTTT